CAAAACTTCGCTTACAGCAATTCAAGTTGTTGGTAGTCACTTGTTCATGCCGTCTGCCTCGCCCCACTTGATATTAGTCCCGGTATTCATCTACAAGCCGAATATCCCACGCCGATCCGGCATTGAGAACTAATACAGACTAGGCATCAGGGCCATTTTCCCTGTCCGCCACTTCGTTACTACCCGGCGCATCATATAGGGCACTTATATGGTATATGAAAGCCGACATGTGGAGCTAAGCCGCCAGTATCCGGTGAAGGCGGCACGGTGCCGCCCATACCGCAGATTTAATGACACCCTTGCTATACCTTGTCCAAAAGTTGGGCTGAAACTTGCTTTACAAAGACGGAGGATCAGCGAGCTTCGGAAGCTATATAAGCCAGAGCTATTGTGTTGGTATATGTCATGACTTTACATTCTTCAAACAGGAGTTTGTTGATAGCTCGCCCCCTTGATATATAGCGACAAATACAGACTTCCAGGGGCGGTGGATGGAAGAAAAGTTATCCCTTGGCATGTATTTCGTAGTAGTGTATAGCGCGCTAAAGTCACATTCTCGACCATTTAGCCGACCGACGGCATGTTCGTATTCCTTACGCGTGCCGTCTCCTTGAGCGGGAGATTCGCAGTCGATCTGTGCGTACGCTTGCGTTTTCCTCGTGGCAAGTCTGAAACGTGGGAGATGTGCGTCGCAAAGATAGTTTGCAGTGGGGCTTGCCAGAACGACTCGTGGAGTCAGCCTTCGTTTTCAAGTTCCATCATAGCTGCCCAACGTCCCAGCTGCACGAATTCGAGTTTTCGTTTCCGGGAGCACACTGCAGGGCTTTGTATTGTCGACCCCTGACGCAGATGCGCCGGTGATGAAAATTACGTTGCTTTGTGAGGCTCATTGGCTAGTGGATGCAAGGCCCGATGCTAAGGTGGGCAAGCCCTTCATTTCTTCAGGTACTCTTCAACCGTGGCGCATGCTTCCCTGTGTTACTGTCTTATACACCTAGTAAGCCGCGAGTCATTATAGTCGATACAAGATACCCCACCAACACCTCTGTTTCGTATCCCGCTTGCTGATCGCCGTCGGGTGGGGATGCGGGTCCAGCCACAGCGCAAAGTTTGTTCGTATATCGAAATGAAAGTTCATATATTATGGCTAAGGTAATCATTGATGTGTAACATCAAGATAGTGTGCTTCCTGCGACTGACAGGCTGGGATGGGCTCTTCGGTTACGTTGTGTGACTACATATGGTGGGGAAAGGGTGGTTCAGTGGTGTTGATGTCTATGCTGTAACTAAGAGCGGCTTGCTGCCGCTTCACGGGAGGCTAGGTGCTGCTCCGCCAATGAAGATGTTGAGCCAGGGTGAACTGATAGGCGTGTCGCGGCATGTGGAGATGAATGGGCGTGTGGTTTGGAAGCCGTAAACCCCCGGGTCACAAAATAAGTGGTGATACCTACATGTCACAGCCGTTATGGGAGTAGACTTGAACGCTACTAACTCGAGCGAGACACTTCCGTACCCCCATGCTGTATTGTCGCATTCCTTGCTGCAGCAACGCCATCAAGCCACGCCCGTCGACAAGCATATGCGAGTTACTCTTTAGCCTATCACCCGTTCGTCCTATGCAGCACTGAACACTAGCTGCTGTCTATCGGTGGAAGAATCCATACGAACATGTACAGCGTATCCAAAGAGGCAATCCCGAAAATTTGTCTGGGGTGCTGATCAATTTTCCATCAAGTGAAAATGACAGGGCGATAGGGCAGGTGTTAGAAAACGTCGGACTTTGGTGCTGACAGAAAACTAGGTGCAGTCGGAGAATCAGTGAGTTGAGTCTGAATTGTGAAAATGGTGCTTTCACGTAGGCTGTGAGTTGCGGAGGTATATGTGGGCCAGTAGGGAAAGTACCAGGGCTAGGTACTGGAAGCGACAAGTTCTTCCAGATCGCACCCCCACGCAGGTCCTGTTCTTGAATAGACCCGCTGCTGAGTTCGAGACACGGTTAAAGGAAGACGTGCAGCTCATCATGGCATACTGCTCTGGTTCTACCGGATACTTGCTCAGGCTGAAACGCCGACGATATAGGAAGCGACTAATGAGAATGTTGAGTTATATCGAGTAGCAGACGTGGGGAGCTTCGTAGGGGGTTCTTTGCGATACACAGGTCAGTCGATGGGTAGGTGTTTGTACCGGTTATTTGTGCCTCACGCCACATGAGTCTTTTCTGCTGATTTGCGAAGGTTAGAATCGATGAGATTGAACTCTCGCCGACCACAGACGGTTTCATCTCTTATATTTCAAAATCATTGCGACGACTTACTTCATTATTGCGGATAGGAAAACCTCGCTTAGCTACCACGTGCAAGACGGTCCGCGGGGCCCACAGGGTCCATCGGCAACGTTAACCGCACGTCATCTGCCAAGCTCTTGTTCGAGATCACTTCAACTCATCAAGTCTCCTGAACAGCATCCTGGGTAAGGCTCCTTTGTGAACCGATGGCTTCTAGGAAAATATCACGAAATAATGGGACATGGCGCGAATCGACGGAGACCGAGGGCTGGTTGGGGGCTGATTGGGGGCGTAGTGTCGCGTGCCTGTGACTCGTCGACTTTCATTAGCGCCTTCCTTATTCACGCATGGCGCCTTTGACTTACCAAGCCACCAACTTTATTCGCCTCTCATCATGTCTTCACGTCCTTATCACAAACTTTCGAACCTTCGCTAGGATCGTTTCTTGAAGCGCTATGACTCTACCGGCGCTTTCAAAAGCCATCGAAGACAATGATAAATATACACAGCAGCTCAGCGAGCGTGAGCTTCTAGTTGCACCTTTCCTCAAACCCTCGAATAAGCCCGAGGATGCGCTAAGAGTCCATCGCGGGGCTATTCGTGAGCCTTCCCCAGATCCCTCCCTCATATCGATAGACGACTCAAACAATATACGACTTGGTCACGACCCAGATTATGTGCCTTCCCAACTTGAGTCTAGACATGCTTCACGTTCGCCAGCTCCTGCAAAGTCTTTCAAGGGTAGATTGCAAGTATCCTGGAAAGTGAACAAGGGTTTAGTTCTCGTTCTTATATCACAGCTGTTCGGCACTCTGATGAATGTCACGACTCGAATGTTGGAGATGGAAGGCAACAATGGTAAGAGCCGATCTGGGACGAAATGATCTCAGACGAACTAACGAATCAACAGGCAAAGGATATCACCCATTCCAGATTCTGTTTGCCAGAATGGGTATTACTGTTCTGTGCGCATCGTTATACATGTGGTATAAAAAGACGGAGCACTTCCCATTTGGCATGAGGGAAGTACGCCCACTTCTAATAGCTCGAGGCTTGTCTGGCTTCTTTGGCGTTTTCGGGATGTATTGTAAGTTCTCTACACTAGATCATACGTGGGTGCAGTAACTTATCCAAGCTTATCGGATGCTGGGTTCGTCTTGACCATGCTTGCCACCTTACTGCAGTCTGCACATACGAGTGGACATGTTAGGGGTTTGCAACAAGTCTCTCCAGGTACTATTGAAATCGCTGCCAGGCTAGTACCTTGTTGTTCCTAATACCCTGTGATGTTCGCTCGTATGCTATAGACCGCAGGCGTAGCCTGCTGGGACCCACGATAGTTCCCATGAACCCCTATTCCAAGTCGTGATGCTGACTCTTTGTAGACTCCCTGTTGTACCTTCCTCTCGCCGATGCCACCGTTATCACCTTCCTAGCACCCAGCCTCGCGTGTTGGGCCTGCTCCTTTCTCATCAACGAACCGTTTACCCGGACGGAGCAGGTGGCTGCATACGTTTCCCTCTTCGGAGTCGTCCTAATTGCAAGACCTGTCTCACTCTTCGCTGCTCTCGGGCACTCCGACGGGTCGGTTCCTCCTGCTAGTGGCGATTCAAATTTGGTCCCATCGAACATAACAGCCCCGTCCCCGGATCGCCTTGCGGCCGACTACGATTCCGTAACGCCAACACAGCGCGCTACCGCCGTAGGAATAGCAATGCTGGGCGTACTGGGAGCAGCAGGTGCTTATACGACACTCCGTTGGATCGGCAAGCGAGCGCATCCTTTGGTCTCGGTCAACTACTTTGCAACCTGGTGTACGATTGTCAGTGTTGTAGCAATGTCGACCATACCTGACGTGGGCTTCCTGCTTCCTACGTACTTTAAAGACTGGTGTTACTTGATATTCCTGGGTATATGTGGCTTCGTCATGGTAGGTCCTTTTGCGTACGATGCATAAAGTGCTTTGGCTAATACCACCCTAGCAATTCCTTCTTGCTGCTGGCCTGCAGTACGAGAAGTCGTCGCGCGCCACGAACATGGTGTACATGCAGATGCTATTCGCGCTCACCTTCGACAAGCTTGTCTGGGGAACGACACCTGGTTTATTATCCATCATTGGTTCATCGCTGATTTTGGGGTCGGCAATTTATGTCGCGATGAACAAAGAGGATCCAAATAACAAAGTCGAGCCTACGGAGAGAGGAGATGGAGAAGAAGAAAGAGGTCTAATGTCCCCCATGGCCGACGGCGAACAAAGGGAAGACGACCAAGTAGACATACCGATGAGGCCATTGAGATGATATGTCACCAAGCATTTTGAGCTGGCGTTCTGTTAACAGACTGAATTGACGCACTTCCGGGCATCTTACCAGACGAATTTGCACGATAATATATAGAAGTAACAATAGACATTATGCAAACATGAGAGACTTGAAGTCTGGAGCCTTCACCCATGTATACACGTTCTTAGTGTTTGCGGTGACCTGCCGGTCGGAAGTCGATGACAAGGCAACCTACATGAGATGTGTCCGATGCCGGTCTCTACCCCACCTTGGCTCCACACATGCAGGCAAAATTTGACCGCCGATCCCACCAACACACTCAGCTTGGTCCGCCAACCTAGACTCAAATCATATTTTTCATGATGATATATTATTAATCATTTGGAATTCTTCCATTCAAACCGTGTTACAAGCCACGAGCATCAACAGCTCAATCCTCCGTGGCGCAATTGGCTAGCGCGTTCGACTGTTATCACACGCAGTTTATCGAGAGGTTGGAAGTTCGAGCCTTCCCGGGGGAGTTCTTTTTGCAGCTCAATATATTTAATAATCCATAGATTACTCTTTTTGCCTCTGCCTTCACTACCTAGCCACGCTATAGGCTACTCCTACCTACGTTTGATTTCTTCTACGTGCAAGTTCGTGCGGTACCTAACTAACAGCTGCTATGTTGCTTAACTTTACTTAGTGCGTAATTCGCTTCGAAGGGCGAGTAAGACAACATTTGTCACCTCTAAGATGTGAAAATTCTCTAGAGAAGGACTCTATAAGACGGAAGAAGCGCGCTTCGGACTGAAGAGGAAGAATTAAGACGGCCGAGATAGAGTTAACTGTATGGAGACCAGATTAATCGAACCAAGCCTCCCCCCCGCATGCGTATTGACTTGATTGGCTGGCAAAATTCGCCTTCTATCCTTGTGATGCATATGCATCCTGAGAGTCTAACATGCGCCATAACTTTGCGTTTCCGTGACCCTGTTTGTTTCCCTCATACGTGCTCTTCATCAAGATGCCAATTCTCCCGCAAGCTGCTCGAAACATGGGCTCTTTGGCTGTTGGTCCAAAGAAAAGGCCAGGCTCATGATGCTCAGCATCCGCCATTCCGGAATCGACAACACGGTGGAGTATCAAACGGTCGCCATTGGGTAGTATACACCACGCATCGCCGAGTGCATGCTGGATGGCAAGAACATGGTCCAGGGTGGCTTTGCTAAAGTCGATAAAGCGGTCCTGCTTGGTGATCTTCGGCGCGTAATGTATCGGTCCCTTCGAACTGGCGTACCATGCTGCATTCTCGAGTGGAGGCACGAATTTTCGCGACTTCAGTACTTCCACGAGCATATCTGCGCCTTCCTTGGCCAGTTGTTGCTCCAGTTGTGATGCCGTGATGCTGCGAGGGATCGCGATGCCTGGTGCGGGTGTCTGAGCGAGAATAGTGCCCCGGTCGAACTTGTTCGGATGCAGCGTCTGGATGGAAACGCCAGTGTATTCCCTCGTCTTTAGTATAGCATGTTCAATCGGGGCGGGGCCGCGCAGGTCGGGAAGGAGCGAGGGGTGCACGTTGAGACCGCCGTACTTTGCATGGTCCAGAATTCGCGGCGGGACGAGGAGGCCGAACGATACAGCGATGACGAGATTGATTGAGACTGGCGGTATCCAGTCTGTGAAGGTATCGATCGCGTGAGTGGGTAGCTTGAGCTCTTCCGCGGCTACTTGCTTGATGGGTACTGTAGCTGGTCAATTGACGCCCACAAGCGACTCAAGATGCGTACCTGCATTCTCTCAATGTCTTCAGCCCCCGCCCAGTAGGCTTCGCTGGTCGGTGGACGACATCAATGCTGTCTATGAGTGTTGGCGCATCACGCCTCGCTTCGACCAAGGCGCGCAACGACGCAATGCTGAAGCCGTCGGAACCGCAGAACAGTATTTGCAGGGGCTTTGAAGCACGAGGCGAAGCTATCATAGAGCTGCATCGGCGGTAGGGTGAAAGCATGGTTTGTGGTTGGACAAAACGTCCGGAGTTGTGTGCCGGATGCTGCTTCTAAAACGCCCTTCGCGGGGCACCTTTACCCACGACATGCACTATTGACCGCCATATCGCGATTTTCTGCAATTACCGGTCATGGCCTTCCAACAGTCGCAGCTGCGAGCGCCTGTTGTTGTCGCTGGTCGGTAGCCTACTCTCAGCACCTCCGTGTTGTCTCCGCAAGCGTGACGCCATACTTCGAAGCGCTTGCGACCGGTTCTCCGAAGCATGCACGGATGTCGTCTACTGCCATTCCCAAGGTCGTGCCGGCGCAACTGTCCTTTCTCGCCATATACAGCCCCTCGCTCGGCATATCAGACGACACCTTCGCCCAGCAGATCGTCTTCTACTACTCCAGGGCCGCCAAGACGCGCTCGAAGCTGAAAGACTACAATTCGCAAAGAGTGCAAGAGTTGCGCGAGCAGGAGAATGAGAAGCTGAGGCAGGTCGGGCTGGCCCAGGGCATGGTAGGCTTTGCAAAGTACGGCGCAAGCATGGTGCGGCCTTTCTATAGCCCGAGAAGCTGACAGTGGACAGGAGCTTTTCCAATGGCGAAGCGGTTGACTCTGTCGAAACGCAAAAGTCGCGCATTGTGCTCCACGAGCTTGAAAACGGGTGGTGGATACTCGCCGTAGGCCTTCTCTATATACACCAAAAGCTGCTCCAACTGACCCTGCGGCAGTCCATCGATCTCACCCAGCTGCCGGCCGCTGCGAGTCTTACGCGAACCGACTCGAGCACGAGCGTCAAAGAACCTGCAATCGAATACTCGGCCCGCGAAGTCAGTCCGCCTGCGCTCCTCATCCAGCAGCTCGTACGCGCCCAGTCCGTCTTCCTGCTCCACCATGGCTCGACCCTCGAGGCTATGTTCCCCAAGCACGGCCGTACAAAGTTCTGCAGCATCTTAGACAAGTATTGGTCCCGATACGCGACAAGCTGGGATGTACTGCTCCACGGGAGCCCTGCCGTCGACATATATGGCGGCATGAAGCTAGCAGCAGGTGGGGAGCTAGGCATGGGCGTTGGAGAAGAGGAGTGGGGCAGCAGCGAGCGCGACGTTCTGGAGGACTTTGCGCGCAGGACCGAAGGACTGATTGACGTCATGGTCTCTCGCTTTGGCGAGGCATCACCTCTGCAGCAAGCCAAGTTCTCGACAGACCCGAAAACACTGGAACTATCTGAAACAGAGCCCTGGATCGGAAGCGGGCAGAATGTCCATGCCGCAGATGGTGTTGTCTTTTCGGGCTTGGGAGCAGTGAGTCGAAAGTCGCTCCGAGACGTGTCGCATTGGGTCGAGTCCATCTACTACCATGGAGAAAACGCGTACGGCGTGCGAGACAACCCTACTTCCGACCGGAGAAAACGGCGCAGAAGAAATCTCAAACTCGAACCTGTGGCAGAGGACTCATCACCAGAAGCGCCCTATCCCTCCCAAGACGGTGGCCCGCGCCCCGCAACGTCGATCTCAGGCTCAGAGCTACCCCCGGGCATCCCGCCTCCCATCGTTAAAGCAGCAGAAAGATCCCTCGAGAAAGCTGCAGCGGCTGTCGAAAACGCGCATGCTCGTGTTGGAAGCTCTTCAGCACCGGAATCCAAGCCAATGCTGGCATCTCTGGGTGACACCGAGACGTGGATGAAGGTCGTGACGCTTGGATATGGCACAGCATGGGGCGGCAAGAAGACCTCCGAAGAAGCTCAGCCTGCTGCTGCAGCACCTGTGCCAGTACCCCCACGCCAACGCTCACCTTCACCAGAAGCTATGCGCTATGTCGAACCAGCACCGGACGTGGACCTCGCGCAAGAGAAGCTCAAGCTCCAAATACGACTAGAGAATGACGGCTACTTCCTAGTGGGACTGAAAGGCGACATGCAGGGCCTGGATGATGATGATAACGACGAGGGCAACTGGAACAACCGAATATCACTGCGGACCATACACGCCGAAGTCGATCGCAAGATCAACTCTCAAATGTCACCCGATGTCGATTCGGATGATACGCCACAACATCAGAACGATATAAGCTTGATGTCTACGCCAGCGAGGAAATTAACCGGGTTACGACCTGTTGTATATGTGGTAAGTTGATCTATCCACCCCGCCACGATGTGTGCTAATAATCGCTCATCTAGCACCGTCCGTTCATCTACATGTTCTTATTCGAGCATCGAACCCACTCGTTGAGCAACTCTTCCTTCTACCGCGACATACACACCTTCTTCTCCCCCCTCCACCGCTCCCTCGAAAAAAGCACGTCACCAGACAAGGTCGCCGCCCGCCTTACCGCTGCTTCAAATCCCTACACTACATTGTCTTCGACGGGCGCTTCAGCACCAAATACACAGCCTATATACGACCTCGTCTTCGATCCCCGCACATACACAATCCACTCCAGCCTCCCCAACATCCCCGACCCGGGCACCCTCACTGCCCAAGGCCTAAGCAGTGCCAGCACTAGTACTGGTTTAAGCTGGAGCCGTGTCGAAGCCCTAAACGTGCACTCGCAAATCCTAGCAACAGTCTCCAGCACGCGTCGCAATTTGGCCGAAATCGAACGCACAGCCAAAACTAGTCGCGGCTGGTGGCTCGTATGGATGCGGCTCCCGCCCTCGCTTGTCAGCGACGAGGCGGTGCGGTCCCAGAAATCGAGCCTTGACCAGAGTTCGATGCTGTTTAATACTGATGAACTGCGGGAAGCTTTTCTGGTTCGCCGCGCGAGTGATGCTACAATATCGTCGTCGTCGTCGGCGCAGAGCTTGGGTAGTGGGGGTTTTGCGAGTGGCATGTGGAGTGGGCTTGGGATGGGGGGCGGACAGAGTCAGAGGGAGAGGATGGGGGGTAAGGCTGCGGGGTGGGGTCCGAAGGGGTTGTCGGAGGGGATTGGGATTGATGCGAGGAGGTATGTTGAGGAGTTGTTGAGTTTGAATCGGTGATTTTTTGGGATTTTTTTGGCAGGTCTAGGTTGAGATGAAATGGAGAAGAAAAAGGACTGTGTCATACTGTTGCAGGATGGAAGGACGATAATTATCTGCTTTTTTGCGTCGGTCGATAATCAAGCTTCTCTTTTTTTCTTCTTTAAACGAGCAGCGCATGCAGTAGCTTATTGTTGCGTTCTTCCCTTTGCTTTTCGTTTTCACCAGGCAACTTTACTCGGGAAAAGGGCATGAGACACGACATAACGAGAGGAAAGATTTGAAACACAAGATGGGGAGGAGCAGCTATTCATTGCTACGATCAAGATGGCTCCCGAAAAACCGCTAACAAGAACAGCTAAACTACCCGTTAAATGGGCGTAATACAATTCAGCTATAGCTAATCCTCACATGCTATATGATAACCAATGCCTATCTACCCGAAGAAAGCCTTCTCACGCTCGAAATGCTCCCAAAGACGCACGTATCTACCAGAAGCAAACACTATCAAACGCCCTGTCATTGTTAACCCAGCTTCACGGGTTCGAGGGGGGGGGGGGGGAGGGGGTAGCTTGGATGGCCTTT